TCGAACGAAGAGGATGTAACCAGTGATCAAGATAGTAAATGCGAAAGCTGCGGAAATACGATCGACGAACAGAATGTTAGGTTAAAGAAAGAAAAGCGATTCTGCTCATCGATTTGTGCAAAAAGGTGAGAGCATACTTTATAATAGTAAACATGATATGGCGAATTATTTCTTTTGTAAATATTTTCTTTTGTAAATTCTGTTTAATAAAAAATGTATCGTCTTATTTACAGTAAAAAACGTGAAGCACGAGAGCGCGATGTTATGGAAAAACAGTGGATTGAAATAGATACTGAAACTAAAACCGTCGAGAATGATGTGACAAAGAAAAACGGCGAGGATAGGTCTTTATCTGCGACTACTACATCCTCTATTGATGAATCACTGCCGAAAGTGAATCCGATTAAATGGACGGTAATGAGATATTTTTATAAGATTTTTCACTTAAAAAATATTTGAATATCTTCAATTCGAGCGAATTGTAAAAAATTACGCGTATTTCATGCAGGTAGGTGAAGTGTGCGAGTTCATACGCGGTCTACCAGGATGTGCTGATTATGCAGAGGACTTTGCTATCCAAGAAATTGATGGCCAAGCTCTTATGTTACTGAAGGAAGATCATCTTATGTCGGCGATGAGTATCAAGTTAGGTCCGGCACTAAAAATTGTTGCCAAAATCGATTCAATGCGTGTAGAATCGAACTTAAATCCTTCGTCGAATAATTCATAACCATTCTATGTATCAGCAACAGATTTCCACAATGTGTTTCCAGAACGTTTCTAGCCTATGAACTACAGGGCTTGTGCAAGTATTTGATTGGATGTAAATGTATAGGATTAAATGTCTTAATTGCGTGAAGTATCTGAATGGATGAACGATTTCCATATTGTTATATTTTATCAAATTTGACTGTTTTCAACGGCAAACCTTCCTTCTGGTTCTTATAATTTTAGTTATATAATTTACTTCAGTTTTTGTAAGTGAATTACAGAGATGAAGCAATATCTATTTTCTATTATTTTTAATGTATGGACGAAAGTAAAAGAAACAGTTTGTATAAACTATTTGTATTTTATTTTATGATGAAAAATGAGGATACATTGTATACTATACGTATGGAGGATACTCGTGAATATATAACAATAGATCTTTAAAGAAAAACTCTGTGTGACATAAAATCAGTTTTTAAAATTTCTTTAAAATTTGCATTATTCAAAAGTATCGTCTATACGTATTATTTATAATTTAATTTTTAATATATTTAATCAGTTTGATAATCTAAATGAATTTAAAAATATTGCCGTATCCTTTTTTCCTTTACGATTATATTATCAAATATATATTTATTTTACACACAAAAAGCTAATTTAGATGGAAACATAATTGTACTCTCGAGATAATATTACATTAAACGCATGGAAATTGTTCAGTTCTAGTGTATTTCAGGGACACTGATCAATGTTCAAAGATATACATTGGTACATATGCATACATACATAATATCATACAATGATCATAACAATATCATATGATTATTGAATTGATTTTAAGAATCCTAACGATATAGGATGTTAAAAAGATTTCATTTGACATACACATAATGAATCTATATGAATGTTTTCTCAAAGTGCACTATTTTGTAAAGTTGGAAATGTCAAAGAATAGAGTACAAATTGTGTCCATTATGCAAGAACATATAATGTATATATAAAATAATGCAGTACACTGTATTTTGTGCTCAAGAGTAAATACTACCGGTTGATGTACAAAATGCATTGCCTTCTATGCAATTTGCAGAGAGTAGCTTTTTTAGTTATCTTATTAAGAATGTTTTGTTACATTGGAACGATGATTTTTTTTATCACTTTTACGTTGATATTGGGGAAAAAAAGAAACTGCCTGCTTATCATTTCATTATGTGTTTTTAATATAAGATGTATACTCATTCGATACAAGTGTAAATAGTAGATGTAAGACATTGTAAGACATTTATTTATTGTATAAATTATGATGTGAGATTTTAATTGCTGAGAATCCCTCTATTATCACGAATTCTTTGTCTAGTAAAAAAAAAGGGATTATCCTATCGTATAAAAGAAATTCTGAGAATTATTTGTTATTAATAGTACATTATGATGACGTAATAAGAAATTGTCACTATTTTTAGTTAAATATCTTTTTAATAAAGTAAAAATGGACGATATATAATTTTTAATACATCAACATATTGGCATGTTCTTGAAGAAATGTAAATATATTATACGAATTTATACAACAGTCAATTTTGAGATTAATCAAAGCAAAGATTACTGCTTTTATATATTTCTTACTGTAATATGAATTTTATATGTATTTCGATAGCGTGCAAATCAGCTGCGAGATTCCAAATTTAATAGGATTCATTACGCTTAAAATGAACAATGATTTCCAATGAGTTTTGTGCAAACGTTAAACGTAGTAGTACATGTTTTTTTTGTATGTTGTGAGAGAATCTTAGTAGAGAAAGTAATATTAAGCTCCTCAAAAAAAAACATATGTATCATACATTACTAAATTTATTTCAAAAGCTATTTATGCCTATTGATAGAAAGTAGAGTCTCTGTGGAAAGAGAAATATTCGGTGCACTTCATAAAAGTTTGTTCCAAGTTCGATTGCACCGAACAATGCGAGCTTGTCAATTCTGCCTCGGAGAATAATTATCTTCCATATTATATTAATTAAAAAATGTTTACATACCTTTCTATAAGATTCTTACATTAAAAAAAAGCTTATAGTTTAAGCACATGACAAAAATTAAATTATAATTAGTGCTAATTGAGATTGGTGTCAGAATTGTGGCTGACATATATAGATTTCATGAATACTAAAATTTTAGCTATAAATTCAAGGTTCAAAATTCAACACCGTTTTCGGCGAAATTTTCTCAGGGCTTTCATAATATACTTTTTATATAATAGAAAGACAAACTTTGCAATAATATAATATTAAATTATTATTTTATATTGGGGAAGCAGGGATTGAGGTAACTGCAATTAAAACTTCTCAAATAAAGAAAATATAATAAATTACGAGTCAATTAATCATAGGATATTCCTGCATAATATCATTTAAATTGTGTTATGATGTATATTTTCTCATAAATGACTTATATTTCTATTTTTTTTCTATAATCTGTAATTTGTTGTAATTTATCATCTAATATGATTTAAGGCTTGGCTTCTCGATGATACAGATTTTAATAATAATGGTACATTTTTCAGCTGTTAAGAACCACTATATTACTATTATTTTAGAAATTATTTTACATTTCCACATGACATATGTTTCTGTCATATATTTTACAGGTTTCAAGATTACGAAATTATTATATTTTTAAGGGAAAACTAAAAAATAAAGCTGTACATAACAATTAGTTTAATGCATTCCTTGCTTCTGACATCATACAATCATCCGGCATCTCGAAAAAGCCGAGCCTTAAAAAAATAGATTATTGAAAACTTATATAATTCATATTTAAAATATGATACATGATCATTGCAAAATTAATAATAAATAAAATATCTAAAACTATATCTGTTACACAAAATAAAGCTATAAAGTTTATTTACAATAAGCATAATTTTAAT